CCCCCCCCCCCCCCTAAGCATGCATGTGATAGTAAATTAGTATTTAATAGTGTCTCTTCACAAGAGAGAAAGCCACAAAGAAAGGGTTTGTTTTGGTGGAAAGGGTTGGTCGATATGGCGATTGCGATTGCGATTGCGATTGCGTTTGTGATTGCGTTTGCGTTTGTGGTTGGGTTGGTTAATAATATGGATGTGTAGAAGAGTCGATGACTTGAGGACCCAAGTACTCGATTCCATCCATTTGTGAATCCTCCGGCACTTCGATCTCTTGCAACCATCCGTATGACTCCTTTTCTTCCTCATCTGCAAATAGACATATTCATTCATACATTCTCTTTCCGGTTTTCATCAACAACAAGCAAAAACTATACTAAGAACGCGCATAAACTATATCTTTTCACATCGTATATAATATATGCCGATCCCATCAACCTGTACACCCCCCATCTTCTCTTGCCATTGGGACTTTGCATACGATATTCTAGGGTTTCACCCTAGTATCCGTGGATCTTGATTCATAAAATGACCCCATATAATCGGTTTGATAATAAATCATCCAAATTTATAACCTCCCTCACCATGGGGAAATTATCAAGAATACCCGTGTTTTGCTATTTTTACTTCATGTCGTTATAACTGTCGCTTACCGGTGACGGCGTCGTGAGGGAGCTCCTTGTAGTAGGAGCAATCTCGGTTATCCTTGGCGGAATAAGGCGGTCCAATAACGTCAAGAACTGCGCAAGGAGTTATAGCTCTGAACTCGTGTATGTTGCCCCCGCTCGTCGGATACAACACGTTCGTATCACATGGAGCCGTGAACACGTTATTCGTCACCATCTCCGCCATCCTCGCTGTAAATGTACGCAGTTTATATTAGATCCCAGAACAATGGTGCCTAAGGAGATTTTTGTGTCGAGGGGAAGTGAATCTTGATGGAAATTGGGGTTGTTTTTGGTAAGAACAAAACGTTAGGGGTGAAAAAGGGTTACCTTGGGGATTAACATTTGGCACGGAAGAATGAGAATTTGCAGGATCAACCCAATCATAAGATTTGATGTGCATCGTCCCAAGCAGGAGTTTGCTGAAGACGGTCATCCCAGGATGGTTATGCAGAGGAATCACTGCCTTTGCGGGGAGGAAGAAAATGCAAAGCTGCTCATCAATTGAAAACAAATAAGATAAATAATTAACAAAATATTAATTACGCAGATCTACAATTTGTAATAAACGATTTTATCTAGGGTTCAGAGGGTTTTTTTGGATCGTATCTATATTGATCAATACATAAAATGTGAAATTTATTAGAATGAAAGGGGGAAATAGAGGCACACGTACGGAGAATTGATTGCATTGGTATATGGTTGTGTATGTGACACGAGGAGTCCCTTTGGGAACTTTCGAAGCTTTGAAAAACTGCAATTCTTTGCTCAATCCCACGTCTTCCGGTTTAATATCATCTGCAAATTTATCAAAGATCTCGTTTTTGTTAATAATATATATATATATATATATATATATGAAGGAAGTCTTGTGTATATGTGTGTCTACTTATGTGTTTGCATGAAAGTATGTTTTCATGTTTAGGAATGTGCCGATATAGACACATTTCAGTATGAATGTGCGTACGTATTCATGTGTTTGCATGTCTCTTACAGATTTATAGACACTCACACATATATATAAGATATTAAATTTTTTTCATTATATAACTTGCGTAATAAATTTTTTTTTTTTTTAATAAAAAATGGCGTACCAAGAATGGCGGTGAGCATCTGGACATCAGACGGCGAAGGGACGTCGTTGGATCCACTGAACACATCCTTACAAGAAACAAACAGCCTTTGCAACGCCGTCGACTTCACCGGAAAACTTTCCGCCGCCGTCCTCCTCCGCTTCCTCCACCTCTGCTTCCTCTTCATCACCACCTTGCTCGCATACCCCACCTTCTTCCCCACCGCCATAACTGCCGCTGACGTGGACCTCCGCCGCTGCTCCACCATCCCTCCGGCATCCACAGTGATCATGTCTAATGTTATATTAACTATATATCATCCACAAGCACATGTATATTTATACGTGTATCTTTGGAGAGATCTACAGCCCAAGATGAGATATTTTGGTGGAAAAAAATCTTGGGTTTGTGGAAAATTTTGAAGAATATGATGGGTTCGTGTTAATCTTGAAATTAGAACTCAAAGTTTTTTCCTTTTCCTTTGTGGGTTTGTGTGTTTCCTTTATGGGATGTGAAGAAAACAGTAGGAAGCGGTATATAAGCTGCAAGGTTTGCGCTTCAAAACTAGGGGCCTTGTTTATAAAAAGTCCTCGTCTCCAAAATTTGTTTTTTCCTTAATAATAATAATAATAATAATAATAATAATAATAATAATAATAATATTGAGTGCCAACGTGTTATTTTATATTAATTTTAAGGTGAATCCGAAATCGGCTCATTTACTTTTCAATGTGTAATGTATTATTACCCGGTATTTGTAAATACTGCTGGCTTCATATTTAATAAGTGATCTACGTTTGATATTTCCAGTTTCTAATAATCATTAGGTTCCCATTTAAATTTGAATATAATCAATTTCTAGTAATCATTATATACCTATTTAAATTTGAATATATGCTTTAGTTATGTAAAAAAATTGAAATAAAATTTAATATTTTATTATATACATAGATAGGAAACAAATACATGTATATGTATGATTTTGGATGGATAATACGATACTATTTATATTGATTTAAAATATTAAACGACAAGTTAAATTTTGGATATTGTGAAGTGGTCAATTCTAATATCATCGTTTATTTGACATCCACCTCCCTTTTCACATTAAAACAAATAGCATAGCAAAGGGTTTCCTTGTAACCTTTTAAAATAGGGGGCAACGTTGTCTAATAATTTATAACTTGGGGGGGCATTTTGGATTTATCGCCCATTTTTAACGTTTTTTTTTTTAAATTTGGGCAAAGAGAACAAACACGTGGCGCAAAAAGCAGAGAACTAAGAATATTTTCTTATTTTATCTAAACATATATATGGCATGTAATGAATCATACTTATATTTTCGGACAATTTTAGATGCGTACCATGTTTCGGAATTTATCAATTTTAGTAACCAAAATCTTAAAAAAAGGATATCTAGAATCTCTTGTGAAAAGTACCTTGAATGGATTTTTTTTTTCAAAACAAAAGTTAGATTTTTAATACAGGTGATTACTTCGTTTTCGATGAAACAACAAATGGAATTAAATAATAGTTAATAATATTTTAAATTAAATTTATTTTAAACTAATCCGTAATTTTTATGAATTAAATTAATATGGGAACAGAAAAAATGGGAATTTATTTAGAAACATATAGAAATTTTGAACAAAACAATACAGTGTAATTGTTATCCATGGTCTTTATATGTGTTTAAATTTAATTTTTGTTTGTTCAAAGTTCATTAAATTTCGAGTTTTTTAATCTAATTCTAGCATAATTATAAACAATATATTAAAAAAAATCATTAATTCACAGCATGCCCTTCCCCTATTTCCTACCATTGATATCATCAAATTAAATTTGATTGTTATTATTAATTTGGAATAGGATTTAGCAGTGGATTTTCCCCGCCCCAAGATTGAGAGAAAAGGAGGAACCACTGGTTTTAGTCTGAGGTGAAAATACAGTAATACCCCTGGATTTCGCTTTTGTACAGTCG